TATTGGGATAGTCATTCTATTTGGTGTTTTATCTGGGGGATGATTGCTGGAGGATGTTTTTTAGTCATCTTGCTCCACTTCCCCTGCAGCCATGTTGTTTGAATTAAGTGCCACATGTGAGGCTAAGGTGAGCCCAGGGTCAACCATGAGTGCTTTCAGATACATTCACAAGAGGTGAGTTTAGCTTTAGTTCCAAATGAAGATCATAGAGACTACTCTGCTTGGGTTTGGTAGGGGCAGGTCAGTGCGGCCCATATTCCCGTTGCTGCAGTAGAAATTGCTGGCATCTATGGCAGAGAAGGGCAACTGAGTGTTGAAAAGGGGAAACTCACATTTTGGTTTTTATGTAGGACTTTACTGGTTCTGATACTCTTGTGGTAAAGGACAAAGGCAGACTTTATCTGCAATTCTAGGTCCTTCTGCCTGTGGGTGTGGTTGCTTCGGGGGAAGGAGTTTTGCTCATGCTTCAAAGGCATATTCTCAAGAAACAGATGTAATTTGTGCAGATAATCACACCTGGGAAGGGATCACAGAGAAGGAGAAAAGGAAAGAAATGGCTTATTCTAAGGTGCATGTGTCTCAGGTCAGAGACTGTGTCCACTTTTTTTTTTTTTTTTTTTTTGAGACAGAGTCTCGCTGTGTCCCCCAGGCTGGAGTGCAGTGGCGCGATCTCGGCTCACTGCAAGCTCCGCCTCCCGGGTTCACGCCATTCTCCTGCCTCAGCCTCCTGAGTAGCTGGGACTACAGGCGCCCACTACCACGCCCGGCTAATTTTTTGTATTTTAGTAGAGACGGGGTTTCACCGTAGTCTCGATCTCCTGACCTTGTGATCCGCCCGCCTCGGCCTCCCAAAGTGCTAGGATTACAGGCGTGAGCCACCGCGCCCGGCTACTGTGTCCACTTTTTCTCTGAAATATTATGTATGTAGAACTTGCAAATGTTTACTTCTCTACTATCGGGGGAACCCGCCCCCAATATTTCAGCATAGGTTCCTTCTATTTTCCATAAGTGTCAGCCAGCTGAGAAATAAAGAGAAAGAGTACAAAGAGAGGAATTTTACAGCTGGGCCATCGGGGTTGACATCACATATCAGTAGGACTGATACCCACCTGAGTCTCAGACCAGCAAGTTTTTATTAAAGGTTTCAAAAGGGGAGGGGGTATAAAACAGGGAGTAGGTACAAAGATCACATGCTTCAAAAGGCAAAAAGCAGAAAAAAGATCAGCTGCTTCTGAGGGAACATGACAAAAGGCAAAACAGAACTACTGATAAGGGTCTAGGTTCAGCTGTGCACGTGTTGTCTTGATAAACAACAGAAAACAGGGTTCGAGAGCAGAGAACCGGTCTGACCACAAATTTACCAGGGTGGAGTTTTTCCCTACCCTAATAAGCCTGAGGGTTCTGCAGGAGACCAGGGTGTATCTCAGTCCTTATCTCAAACACATAAGACAGACACTCCCAGAGCTGCCGTTTATAGACCTTCCCCCAGGAATGCATTCCTTTCCCAGGGTATTAATATTAATATTCCTTGCTAGGAAAAGAATTTAGCAATATCTCCTACTTGCACGTCCATTTATAGGCTCTGTGCAAGAAGAAAAATATGGCTCTTTTTGCTGCACCCTACAGGCAGTCAGATCATATGGTTGTCTTCCCTTTTCCCTAAAAATTGCTGTTATTCTGTTCTTTTTCAAGGTGCACTGATTTCATATTGTTCAAACACACGTTTTACAATCAATTTGTACAGTTAACACAATTATCACAGTGGTCCTGGGGTGACATACATTCTCAGCTTACGAAGATAACAGGATTAAGAGGTTAAAGACAGGCATAAGAAATTACAAAAGTATTATTTGGGAACTGATAAAAGTCCATGAAGTTTTCACAATTCATGTTCCTCTGCCGCGACTCCAGCTGGTCCCACTGTTCGGGGTCCCTGACTTCCCGCAACACTCTACTTGTGATGTTTTGCCTTATCAGTTTAACTCCTTTTTCACTTTTTATTCTCATGTAGTCAAGGGACTCTGAGAAATACTTTTTCCTTATATACCCGAGTCTTCTTATTCTCTACATCCCAGCTTTTAATAAACCATGAAAATATTGTCACCATGAATTTATACCGGCAACATTACAAATGTTTCTTTTGTGGCTGTCGAACATGGAAAGGTGTGGATGCCCAAGATTCTTGTTTGAGATGGGATCAGGTCCTTGGTTATCAGTGAAGAAGGAGACCATGTACTGTTTAGCTTCCATTAAATCTAAGCAAAACTGCTTATAAAAATGCACATTTAACGAGAATGGTCTTTATTGCCCAGGATAACTCAGAAAGTTCTGAATAAAAAACAGAAGAGACTTCCTCTCTAGGATGCTAAAACAAGGAAATACAAGAGAACACAAACAAATGGAAAAGAAATTCCATGCTCATGGATAGGAAGAATCAATATCATGAAAATGGCAATACTGCCCAAAGTAATTTATAGATTCAATGCTATTCCCATCAGGCTACCATTGATTTTCTTCACAAATTAGAAAAAAAACTTTAAATTTCATATGGAACCAAAAAAGAGCCCATATAGCCAACACAATTCTAAGCAAAAAGAACAAAGCTGGAGGCATCACACTACCTTACTTCAAACTATACTACAAGGCCACAGTAACCAAAACAGCATGGTACTGGTACCAAAACAGATATCTAGACCAATGGAACAGAACAGAAGCCTCAGAAATAACACCACACATATACAACCATCTTATCTTCAACAAACCTGACAAAAATAAGCAATGGGGAATGGATTCCCTACTTATAAATGGTGCTTGGAAAACTGACTAGTCATATGCAGAAAACAGAAACTGGACCCCCACTTCCTTACACCTTATACAAAAATTAACTCAAGATGGATTAAAGAGTTAAATGTAAAACCTAAAACCGTGAAAACCCTAGAAGAAAACCTAGGCAGTACTGTTTAGGACATAGGCACAGGCAAAGACTTCATGACTAAAACACCAAAAGCAATGGCAACAAAAGCCAAAATTGACAAATGGGATATAATGAAACTAAAGAGCTTCCGCATAGCAAAAGAAACTTTCATCAGAGTGAACAGGCAGCCTACAGAATGGGAGAAAATTTTTGCAATCTATCCGACAAAGGGCAAATACCCAGAATCTACAAGGAACTTAAACAAATTTACAAGAAAAAAGCAACCCCATCAAAAAGTGGGCGAAGGATGTGAACAGACACTTCTCAAAAGAAGACATTTATGCGGCCAAGAAACAAAAAAAAGTTCATCATCACTGGTCATTAGAGGAATGCAAATCAAAACAACAATGAGATACTATCTCACACCAGTTAGAATGGCGAGCATTAAAAAGTCGGGAAACAGATACTGGCGAGGATGTGGAGAAATAGGAACGCTTTTACACTGTTGGTGGGAGTGTAAATTAGTTCAACCATTGTGGAAGACAGTGTGGTGACTCCTCAAGGATCTAGAACCAGAAATACCATTTGACCCAGCAATCTCATTACTGAGTATATGCCCAAAGGATTATAAATCATTCTATGAAGACATATGCACACGTATGTTTATTGTAGCACTATTTACAATAGCAAAGACTTGCAACCAACCCAAATGCCCATCAATGATAGACTGGATAAAGAAAATGTGGCACATATACACCATGCAATACTCTGCAGCCATAAAAAAGAATGAGTTCGTGCCCTTTGCCGGGATGTGGATGAAGCTGGAAACCATCATTCTCAGCAAACTAACAAACTTACAGGAACAGAAAACCAAACACGGCATGTTCTCACTCATAAGTAGGATTGGAACAATGAAAACACATGAACACAGGGAGGGAAACATCACACACCAGAGCCTGTTAGCAGATGGGGGCAAGGGGAGGGAGAGCATTAGGACAAATACCTAATGCATGTGGGGCTCAAAACCTAGATGATGGGTTGATAGGAGCAGCAATCCACCATGACACATGTATACCTATGTAACAAACCTGCACGTTCTGCACATGTATCGCAGAACTTAAAGTTTAAAAAAAAAAAAAAAAGTTTAACCAAAAATTAGAGATTAGAGAACATGGGAGATATTTGTAGCTTAAATTTTGCTTAAAACTAATGTTTCTTCATGACTAGACTCATATTAAGTTGGCCCTTTTTGTGTTAATGTTAATAATAGCACAGTAGTCTTGTATCCTTTGTTAATCAGCACCTGATACAAATTTCTTTTAATATAGTTGATCTTTATTTACTTGGTAAATATGCTCTCTGACAGATATTTTTCACTTGAGTTAATTATTTTTCTCTTTATTATTGATAGGTACCTTGGGGAGTTTTATCAAGTGATGTGCAAGAACAAGATTAAACCATATTTAATCTGATAGCTCTTCTTTCTTCTTACCTTCTCTTTGCATATAGCTTGCTATGGAAAATGAAGGCTCTCATCTCTCTTTACTGGTCAAATAAACTAAAAACCTAGGCTGTGCCACTTACTGAATTTTTGACAAAATATTCTTGGTCTAGAAGCAGTAATATCACTGGCAAACTTCTTAGAAATTTGGAAACTCAAGCTTTACCCTAGATCTTCAGAGTCAAAATCTAGGTTTTAACAAGATCTCCTGTTCATTGCTGTACACAATAAGATTTGAGAAGTATGCTTTTACTTCACCATGAAGTTTCCATATGGGAACTATAGACAGCTTAACTTGCATTATGTAAATATAGCATTAAGAAATGTACATGCCTGTGTTAATGTCCTTTATTTTATACAGTATCACCAAGAAAAGTATTGCACATACACTGGTTTCATGATCTTATTCCATCTTTTCTCAGAGGTAAAAATACAGTAGAGAATATTTCTGTGCTAGAAAGTATCCTATTGAATAACTCCAGTAACTCATATAAGTCAGAACCAGGTCTCTTTACTCTCATTTTACCTGATGTCAAATCAAGAATTCTTTCTATGGTCACTTGGTAAATATGTTTTGTTTTCCAGGGAGTGTTGACATTCAGGGATGTGGCCATAGAATTCTCCCCAGAAGAGTGGGAATGCCTGGACTCTGCTCAGCAGTGTTTGTATAGGGATGTGATGTTAGAGAACTACAGAAACCTGGTCTCCTTGGGTGAGAATAACTTCAATATACAACTCATATTCTACATTAAATATTTTATTTTCTTCTGTTTTTTTTTTTTGAGGTTCTGCTTTGCATAAATAAGTTTCAGAATCCTGCTTCAAAAAGAAAAAATTGGGTATCTGTTGAGGTAGAAAATATAATCTTCAAGATGTTTCATCTTAACATTAATCTTTCCCTTTTTTGAGCTCATCTGTATACTTCAGTCTAAATTAGCGGTGATATCAGAAATTTAGTAGCATAAAATATTGTTACCCACACCTAAAAATGCATTTTTCACGCTGATTTTTGATTCAGTATTACTGGGCAATAGAGCTAAGAAGCACAAATCTAAAATACTTTCTAAATATTCTAAAGACTCTGTTAGGAAACAGTATATTTAAATTAATTTTCTAGAGTCTTCTATAATGTTCTTTCTTCTCTAATGAGCACAGTACTAGATTGGTAATCGGATTATCCTAGCAAGAGTCATGTTATTTTTTTCTAATAAAACAGGTCTTGCTATCTTTAAGCCAGACTTGATGACCTGTCTGGAGCAAAGAAAAGAGCCCTGGAAAGTGAAGAGACAGGAGGCAGTAGTCAAACATCCAGGTAGGTGGGAGTAAATGAAGCAAATGACACAAATGACGGAACCCAATGTCAAAGAGGAAGCCAGACCTTTAAACATGCTTCCAGAAACTCTGCTCCAGTGGAAATAGTTTCTGAGAAGCCTTCATTTCTTTCTCTTGCTTTAACATAGGGACATTTTTTGTCCCATTCTTGTGAATTTTCCAAGCACTGTATTTCCCCTTCGGTAATGTGTGTGTGTGTGTGTGTGTGTGTGTGTTGTTTTGTTTTTGTTTTTAGTTTACAGTAATGAAAGTCTTTCATGGCTTAAAAGAAAATGGGTGATTTGACTGCTTTTCCATTGCTTTGGGGAAACAGCAATATCTGTATTTTTGAGAAACTCTATATTAAACCATTTTTTAAGTTCTCTTTTTGGATAATGTCTAAATATGTAAGTTTTGGTGATATTGTAATTTGGATCAGAAATTCCAGGAACACCACAAAAAGATGTATACTTCCTGCTTTATAATTTTCTGTTCTATGGAGCCTTCAAATGTGATTTTACAGAAATGTATACTCAGTAATTATATCAAAACACTAAGCATCTCCCTAAATGAAACAAACTCTGAAATTGTGTTACGTCAAAATGTTATTCTTATAAAAACAAATGTTGGTAAATATGGCCAAATTCCTCAACTGTATGTAATGTAGTTCAATGTATCTACTTCAGACATTTATTAAATATACTATGTCACTGGGGAGCTTAAAACATTGCTGAGTATATATATATATTTTTTTTGAGACGGAGTTTTGCTCTTGTTGCCCGGACTGGAGTGTAATGGCACAATCTCGGCTCACTGCAACCTCCGCCTCCCAGGTTCAAGTGATTCTTCTGCCTCAGCCTCCCTAGTAGCTGGGATTACAGGCATGTGCCACCACACCCGGAGAATTTTGTATTTTTAGTAGAGACGGGGTTTCTCTATGTTGGTCAGGCTGGTCTTGAACTCCCAGCCTCAGGTGATCTGCCTGCCTCGGCCTCCCAAAGTGCTGGGATTACAGGCATGAGCCACTGCATCTGGCCTGCTGAGTACATATTAAACTTCAATTTTAACTTTAATTTTAATTTTAAATGACATCATTTTGTGATTTTATTTAGTATAAAGCTTACTGTGATTGTGTCATTCATATGTATATATATAAACACATTTATATATGCATGTGTATGACACACACACACATATAATCCCAGTAACGCGAATTTTTTTCACAAATAATAATTGAATACCTATGTATTATATACAATGTATTGATTTTATATGTGTATACATAATGAAATGATTAATACAGTTAAATTAATGAAAAAACACATTTATGACCTTATGAGTTACCTTTTTTGTAGTGAGAACAATTAAGATCTCTCAGCACGTTTTCAGCATACATAACAGTATTACTTTCAGTATTCATAAAGCTGTACCTTAGGTTACCATAACTTCTTTGTCCTTTAACTGAAAATTTGTACCATTTGAACAACATACTCCCCTTTCTTCACCTCCAGGGCCTAGCACTCACCTCTGTATTCTCTTCTCTTGGGAGTCCAACCTTATTATATTCTTCATAGAAGTGAGATCATACAGTATTTGTCTTTCTGTTTCTGTGATGTTTCACTTGGCATAACGTCATCTAGGTCCATCTGTGTTGTAGAAATGGCACGGTTTTATTATTTTTTATGGCTGAATAATAATCTATTTTGTATATATACCATGGTTTTTTTTTGTGCAGTCAGTGTCCACAAACACTTGAGATTGCTTTCATATCTTGACAATTGTGAAAAATGTTTCAGTGAACGTGGAGGTGCAGGTATTTCTTTGAGATAGTAAATTTATTGTATATGCAGAAATGAGATAGCTGAATTGTATAGTAGTACTATTAAATATTTTTTTAAAGAACCTACATACTGGTTTTCATAATGTCTCTAGAAAATTCCACGTCACCAAAAGTGTACAGCATCTTTTCTTTAATATATTGTTGTCAACGCTTGTTATAAATCTTCTTCTTGATATTAGCAATCCTAACAGGTATAAAGTAATATCTCACAATGAATTTAATTTGCATCTGCCAGATTGGTGACATTGAGCACCTTTCTATATACCTGTTGCCCAATTGTATGTTTTCATTAGTAAACATTTATTTAGTCCTTGGCTTATTTTTAAATCTTGTTATTATTACTGTTATAGTTGTTGCCTTTTATTTGCATGAGTTTCTTATATATTTTTGATACTAACCACTTACCAGATATGGTTTTCTTATTCTGTTTTTCCTTGGTTCTGCAGAAGTGTTTTAATTTGATCAGTTTAATTTGTTTATATTTGCTTTTATTGCTGTACTTTTGCTGTTGTATCCAAAAATTCACTTCAAGACCAATATTAAGGTTTCTTCATATGTTTTCTTTTAAGATTATTAAGAATTTATGTCATACATTAGAGTCCTTATTTTATATTTAGCCAGTTTTTAAATACAGTATAAGAAAAGTGGTGTAATTTTATTATTTTACTTGTGGATATTCAGTTTTCCCAGCCCCAAGCATGGAAGAGACTGTACTTTCAGCATTCTCAGTGGTTCAGTGTCAAAGATAAGTTGATCTTACATGAGTGGATTTGTTTCTGGGCTCTCCATTCTGCTCCACTGATATCGGTGTGCATTTTTATGCACAGATCATCCTGTTTTTATTACAGTAGTCTTCAAATGTAGTTTAAAATCAGAAAGTATCATGCCCCTAGCTTTGTTTTTAATCCTCAAAACTGCTTTGGCTATTCAGTGTTTTTTGTAATTCCATATAAATTTTAACATTAAAATTTTGAAAAATTTTACTAGAATTTTAATAGGGTATTTATTGAATCTAAATTTTCCAATTCTTTAGACTAATTTCAGCAGGTACAAATCTTCTCTTGGGTCAATTAGCTGATAGAATCTTTTTCTGTATGCAGTGGAGAGGGGTTATACGTGGGTCACATGGCTGCTTCTTGTTCTGTTGTGGAGTTTGCCTTTAGTGGGTTTGTTACCAGGAGCCTGGGTAGTTGTTAATCCTCTCTTATTTCTTGGCAGACTGAATTGCCTTCAGAACTTTGATCTGCAAGGCCAGCACTAGGGCAGTGTTCTGCAGTACAGTTGGTATACGGTGGGCCTGATGTGTGTTTTTTACTGAGTATGTGGCAGGATTTCCCCAAGTAACACTTTGAGTACCTAGGTTGGCAGAACTTGCCACAAACTGTGACTATCAGTGCTGAAACTGAGTCACTGAACTGTTTCAGAGAGCACAGTAAAGGCCGAAGTCTGCAGACCTACTGCTATAACCACAAATAGGCATCTTTCTCTGGGTCTCTGATGTGCAGAACCACTCCTAGGCTATGGCTGGAAGGAGCTGGAGATGATTATGGAGTCACTACAGAATTTTAAGTCAAGTCAAAATAGGTGAACCATTTCTTGGCCTGTAGCCAAAGACCAAGAGTTTTCAAGTTTTTCACCTATATGAGGACCTGCCTTTTCAAAATGACTCCAGTCAATCTTTAGTTCTAGCAGGTCTTAAAACCCTCTCCCTGAAAAACAAAATTATTATAAAGGTCTCTTCTTTGAGAAGGGGTCTCACTATTATCACCCAGGCTGGTCTCAAACTCCTGGCCAAAAATGCTTCTTCTTCTGCCTCAGCCTACAAAGTTGCTGGGATTACAGGTGTGAACCACCATGTCTGTCAACATAATGGACTCCATGTTGTATTTCTTCTAAGACTGTTTTAGGGGTAATGAACACGCTTACCTTTGGTTCATATTAGAAAGTCTTTATTTTTGTCTTATGTTTTAAGTAAATTTCTCCCAGATTAAGTATCCTCGGTTGGTAGCAGATTTTTTTCATCACTTTGAAATTTAGGAAGTTTTAATGAGTCCCTTTTTTCTTCCAATCACTTCTCTACCACTTTCCCTTGCATTCTTCTTCAAAGACTCCTTTCATGAATATATTGGTCTCCTTAATCGTATCTAATAAGTCACTTATTCCATGTTGATGCTTTTCAAGTTTTTTTATTTTATTTTTTTCATGACTCTATAAATAACATGTCTTTAGTTTTCTGATTTTCGTTTTCTGATCATTAATTCTGTTGTGGCTTTACAAAATTTTTCAACAATTATTTTTCTGTTCCACAATTTCTTTTTTTAATATTTTTATTTTTTTGTTATTATACTTTAAGTTCTAGGGTACATGTGCACAACGTGCAGATTTGTTACATATGTATACATGTGCCATGTTGGTGTGCTGCACCCATTAACTCGTCATTTACATTAGGTATATCTCCTAAT